ATCCTCTAGCACTCAATTATCAGCTCCGATGCAGGGCAAGTCATGGAAAGTGGACGATGATGAAGCAGTTGGCTTGTGGTTGGGTTGAACGGGCGAAGCAGGCTGACATGGAACGATGGGCTGATGTACCAGTCGGTCGGCAACAGTAGATGGGCGGTGACTGGAGTGATCATGTGGCTGATTTGGAATGGTCCACAGTAGCGCAGTCGCAATTTCGGTACGACGGGCAATATGTAATTCCCTCACTGTTACGTTACCAGACGGCGTTGGCAGTCAGCGTTTCTTTTTGCGATGATGTTGGCTTTCTTGATCGCGTCTACGGCTCTGGTTCGGGCAGCTTGCAAAATCTTGGCGAAGTCTTGTGCGCGTGGCGTTGGGTTGTCCGGACCCGGCGTCATAGGCATTGTGTGGTTTTGCCAGTGTAGAACGGGGATTGTTGCGTTGTCGTTGACGTGAAATTGTTGTAGGCGAACTCAATCAGCGGTAGCTGCTATTCCCATGTCATCGGGTCGTCGCACGTGGCACAAATCAGCTGCTCCATGTCGCTCTCGGGGTGGTACGACGAGCTGAAATGTAGACTGGTCCCGAACTGCACCCAACGGTTCTTCCAGAAGTTGTTGGTAAACTTCGTGCCATAGTCACTAATTATCGCGGCTGGTATCCCGTTGTGAGGATCTAGGATCGGGCTCAGAAAAGATGATTTGAATTGAATGTTTCACCTGGGTACAAGGCGAGGCTATATATAGGCTCGACACAAGGCAGGTAACCAGGTGTTACGCGAAGGTTCCGAGGGTCGCGAAGCGTCCCGAACAGACCTTTCGGTAGAAGGCAATTCGGTGGCAACCGAAAAGCCTAGAATTCGGTGTACGCAACCTAGTTCGGTGCCTATAACTATAACAACTATAGTAAAAGCATCGAACCTAGGCAAGCAAAGCAAAATAATGCTACGCTAGATAATGCATAATAAAGTCCAGGCAAGCTAGCAAAGCCAGCATAAGCCGTCGTACTCTCACACGCCCCCCCCCCTCAAAGCTGGGTGGCGTGAGATACACCCTGCTTGACAAGATAGTCCTTGAGAGCACGGCGTGCGTTGCCCATATCGGCTTCTTGCACCCAACTGTCCTCAGTGGGGTCGTATCCCTTCCAGCGTATCAGGAACTCAAGGGTCTTGCCGCCGCGGCGCCGATGAGTGAGAACGCGCTCGATCTCGTACTCTGGTTCATCCTGCACAAGTACAGGTGGTGGTGGCGGTAGCTGTCGTCCCTGGAACTGTTGGTTGGGGTCCTTGTAGGGCTTCAGTAGCTGAACATGGAAAGCGTTATGAAGCTTCCACGTACCGTATTCCCTCGGACATACCACTCGCCGAAATAGAGCACCCCCCGGGTGGCTTGTGCGGGGGGGGTGCTATAGCGGGCCTCGTTTCTACTATACCCCCCTTTTGGGGCGATCCGGTATAGCACCCGTGGGGGGGGGGTGTTATGTACGGGTAATATTGCAGTTTTTGCCTAAATAGCACTGGGTTTCCGATGATTAACCATCGACATGTTAACATCAGCACACTCTGCCGAGCATTGCTCGAGTTCGTGGAATGGAGCCGTTGCACAAAAAGAAGGATCAACTCCTTCTCAGTACAAGGACGTGACCGGCCCAGCGAGGCAGCTGAGGCTGTTGCGGGCGCTCCGCCTTTGTGACTGCATGAATCCTCGTCGAGCGACGATGGGGTGTGTTTTCGACCAATCAGGGCCTGACAGTGGGCCTTGTTGGAGCTTGCAATGTGGCAGCTAACCCTCGAGACTAACATTATCGCCCAGTCCTCGGTTTTGCGCACCCAACCAACAATCTACCACCATCAGGCCTCTGGATAGGATTTGGGGTACTCTTCCTCGTAAGGCCAACACCCAGCTGTTACTCTTTCAGTAAGGGTGCTTCACAGGAACTGCTCTTAAAAATCAGGGTGCAAACAAATTAAAGAAACTGTCGAATGTTTTTTGCTGAGCATACTATGTAGGGTGTTAGTGTTGCAGTGTGTTGAGTCATCGTTGTTATGTGGAGGACCCAAGTTCGATACGTGCCGGGGTCATCCGACGTAGGAAATGTGATTTACGCGACTAATCCTAGTATTCTCTCTTAGATCGTACTCGATTTCATCAGTGCTACTACACCACATAGCTCTGAAATATCAGTGTCATACAATCGATCACTTTTTTTGGTAAGGGTCGAAAACAAAACCAGTCTTGTAAAAAAGGGTGCATCGTAAAACCCGCCCTTATAGTAAGGGTCATAAGGGTGAATCACCCTGATATCGAGAGGCCAGACCACCATGTGAAACATGTACATTTTGTTCTCAACCTTTTGTGCTCTAAAAAATATACATTATGTATAGACGTGGGTGCAATGTAGCTTTTTCTGATGAAAAGACCCCACGAGGAAAGGACCATTGGAGGGTTCCACACCACAAGAAAGTTGAAGGTTACTTATTTGCATGTTGAATGGATTACCGCACCGTAAGTATATATTTTTGCAAGTATTTGATCAGACCTACGTATGAGCACATTCTACATCCTTTGGCTCACTCAACTAGGTTGTTGCTGCTTCTGTTACACTTTCGTACATGGTAAATGTAATACGCACACTCTCCAACACATATGCTCTGCACATATTGGATTGGAACACAACTTCATCTTACCATGTTCTCACTTCTCTCAAACATCAGATGCTCCCACAAAGGCTCCCCTGCAGTCCTACCCTGACTTGGAAGGTGCATCTGATGCCTTAGCGGATGGAGGGGCTGATGGTGCAGCAGGATTGGTGGGCTCATCAGGAGAGCCAGGAAGCCAGGTCTGGACACGTGACCAATCGCGCTGGTTAGGGTTTAAGGCGTGGCCCTTGGCATGGTAAATGAAGGCATCTCCCTTCCCTGTGAAGTTGGCTCGGTGCTCCAAACCATAGTGGGGCTTGAAAGCAAGTATCTGGAGAGGGACAAGCGATGAAAACACCAGATGGATGCACTCAAAGGAAGCTATATGTAGAGCCAACTTGCATAGAGGAGTGATGACAAACATACCGTAAGAAACAATTTACTAACCTTATCAGGTAGGTCATCCGTGATGTGGTGCAGCCAGCCATGCCACTCAGGAGGCACAGTGGATGCATTATAACCCCATGACTCCTTGTACTCCACCCATCGATGCCGACCTGACACCAAGCAGGAATGTTGCACGTAAGAGCAGGCGCCACATGCATGTTGCATGTTCATGTTCATGCATGTTCATAATTTGATAAACAGATTGATGGTAAACAGATAGACGGAACGACAGACAGACAGACAGAAACAGACACTAAAACAGACAGACGAACTGACAAACAGAAACATTATTGATACATGCTGATTGATACATAGATCCACTAATTCATAGACTGCATGGATCCTTGAATATGAATAAACATACACATAGACGAATAGACTAATATATACAGGAAATGTTTGAACAACTTGAAGGGGTTTGATAGTGAAGCTACTACACAGATTCTGCAGGGCCAATGGCAGCTTGCCTGCAGGTTACAAGAACACACATGAAAATGGTCAGGGTTGATAGCCGGAAAGACCATGACAGCTTACCATTTTGTGCATCCATGCGCTCATAGTACTTGTTCCCATGCGAGTCCGTGCCCACAAGGCGCGCTCCCAATGCACGGCGCTTGGTTTCACTGAAAGGCGATCAAGTCACAATCCATCCGCACTCCCTCCATCCATGCACCCCCAGAGCATTCACAAAGAATCCCATTCACAAACAAGGCAAGGGCATTCAAAAGTGAACCAAAGTATGAAGATGTAACTGGTTAAAGGCCTGTGGAGACAGTGAACCAAAAAAGGAGAACGGCGTGCCTCAGAATGTGCTATGTATACGCCCTCAAGCTTAACATTTCCAATCAGACACTCTATGTCGCTTTCATTCCCTACACAAGCGATATGACCAACAAGACCGCGAGGAGAGACGAATCAGAGAAAGGATGAAGGCTCATGGAGGAGGAGGCGAGCAAGACGCGGGCATAGAAGGATATAACTGACAAGAGATTGCCGTCTAGGAGAGCCATGCTGTTAGGGTGGTCCCACGCAGACGCCAGGCCGCGGTTAAGTTCCAGCGACACATGGACGGGAAAGCGAAAATGGGAACAAAGGGTGTCAAAGGGAAAAAAACAAGAAGTTCAGAAGCCCGAAGCGATCGATTTAACGTGTGACAGCAACACCGACAAGACATGTGGAAGGGGTGGATGGCTCAATGGCGTCAGCCTCAAACGGAAAAGACCGCAAAATCGGAAAGGCTGTAGTCGAGATAGCATGCAAGAAAACGGTGGGCGTACGCATATCCCTCATGATAAGCTTGCTTCAGCGCTCCAATAAGACCGTTTTGACGAATCGCACCGGCGGCCGCGCGAAGGTGGGCGAGCACCATTATAACCTATCGATTGAGTTCGGAACTGGCAAATGGATATGTTCGGAACGCTAAGGATGCCGAGAGTAAGAGATCACGCGGCTGGACGGCGAGATGAGCGGCGGCGATGGTGGAGGTGGTGTGCAACGGGGGTGAGGCGGGAGGTGTGGTGGAGGTTGCTGCCCTGGAAAGGGCCTGATGGGTGTAAGAGTGTCTTTGGAACTGTGCTGCTCTCTATAACAAATTCACTGTAGACGACAACTCTTTCTATCAAGAAATGTACGCGTTGAAGGATTACATATTGAAGAACCCTGTGTCTCCGGGGTCAAGCTGGGGGTGTGGTACCTTGTCGCAAGCACAGCTTGTTCGAAAAACATTGCAGGTTGCGAAGCACGAAATTTTATGTCGCAGACAATCGTAACTTGGAACGAAACGAAACGAAACAACGAAACGAAGTGAAACAACTGTGTTGTCATGCCCCCGCACTGTCGTCGTCAGCGCAACAGTATCCTTAACGCGAAACTTTGCATGGAGGTTCGAAACTATCGTAGCTCGTTACTCTTCTGAATGCGAAGTTTTGGATGGGCGTTCGTTGTCAAAGCTCCACGCCCTAAATTCCACTCACAAACTCCAAGATCCCCAGCAGGTTATTGTTCTATAGTTGTGAACGACCTCAGAAATCTACCAGATTCTGCTACCTGTGTTCTGTCTCCTCGCACAATGGCATCAGTGAACAATGACATTAGGCTGGCCTTGGCCCTCGCCGTTGTCAAGGCTAGACAGTCAGAGACGAACTCATTTCAAGTGGGACACCTTAAGCGCAAGGTCAGTTTTCAGTCCGAATAAGCAGAAGGGTGGCAATAAGCATTTTCTAACATCTCGTATCGCAGATTGAAGATCTTGAATGCACGCTGCAGCAGTACAATCAGGTTCTTGGAGATATTGGTGACTGTAAGTGAGTTTTCTGTGAAAGTGCCTTAAAGATTTCCAAACTCGTCCTGAAGGCGTGTACGGACACAGGCCCATCTATCCTGCAAAAACTGTCGCCAGAGCTTCAGAACTCGGTGGCAAAAAGGCAAAAGGACTTGCTTGATGCGACTGAACACACGAAAGAACAAGGGGAACTGATAAACACCGACCATCCTAGAGTGGTCCTTTTTAAGCACGGTGAGGCTGAACTACGTAATCATATCTTATCCAACAACGTTTTTTTATGTGAATTCGCTGAAGAGGTTTGTTCTGCAGTTCAACTTGTGTCAAATATAAGGAGACTGAAGGAGCCCGGTAAAGGTGGGAATTTTAGCAGGATATTCTTGTCTGGTGCCAGTCTTCACTTGCTATCACAAAATTAATTTGTTGAGGTTGCAGGGGCTTCTTCCATCTGGCCCAGTGTGACTGATGACCGAGGATGGATTACACATGTTTTGAGATTTGCTGCAGACGTAATTGCCGATTCTCCGGTTCAGGTACGCCTATCCAACATGCTGGATTGAAGAGCTTTGCCAGGGACCTGGACTCACAGTGATGCTTTTCAACTGCAAGATGGACGGCCAGAAACAAACATACATAACCGAAGCCATTTCGTTTGTAAGAGGTAAGAGTTTTGTTGTTCTCATTTTTTTATTTTTCCCAGAATTTTGCATTCACCTGGTTAATGTGATGTTCTATACAGGAGTTCTTCGACACGAAGGAAAGTCCAGTGAACTTTGTGGACCTGTCACTGAGTTTCTTAATTCTGTGCTGGGCATGTTGCTGGAACCAGCAAAAGGTTTGTGAGTGTCTATGTACGAATCTAGTCTGCACCGAAGTACCAACTGCTTATTGCATCTAACATGGCGTTTCAGAGATGACCAACTGGTCATGTTGCGAAGAGATTGAAGGCATCATACTTGAACTTGCTGAAGAGCCTTTCATAGGACACCTGCTGCTGCCCATGTTAACTGATGAAATACGGAAGGAGTTCGGTTTGGTGCACTCTGGCACCTGGGACACGGCAGCGGCTATTGCAGCTGAAAGATGTGGGAGACTGTAAGTTACGCACTGTGCACAACCTCTCAAGAATGAGCAGTGCAATAAAAGTATATTTTGTATCACAGGCTATCACTTGTCTTCAAGATTGTATCAAGCAACATGCCCAGCTGGACCTCTGTTAATCATCTTGATAACGGTAAGCTCTTGCCTGGTCCTCCCATGCTCCGACCACAGACACTCCCTCCTACACACCTCCCTGCTCACACTTGTTCAAGCTCTCCACCCCAAAGCCTTCAGCTTTTGCATGTACTCCCCCCTCTCCCTCTGTTTCATCCACACATGCACAAGCACACATACGCATGCTAAAAAACACACATGCTTGTGTGCTAACATGCTCCTCTCCCCCTCCCATGTTTCTCATGCCATCCTTCACCATTTTCTGCACCTCGAACACACCCTTCTCTTTCGTACAGATATGCTCCTTGAGTGGATTGCATCCTTCCATCACCTTCAGCAGCAGGTTCAAAGAGAAAGGTCACCTCTCCTACTCTTTTGTGTTTACACAGACAAGATTATTGCGTGTATTCAGGACTTCATTGACCATCTACATTCGTCCAACACACCAGACGGGGATGTCACAGGTCTACTTGGGCTGCACTGCAAACTGAAGTCAGGATCCTTGAGTAACATTGCAGGCCTATTGTATTCTGGAGCATGTTAGGAGCTTGTCACAAAGTTAGGAGCCTTATATTTCAGATAAGATTGCACATGCTTTGAAGTACTGTACGCAGTAACAATATAATATCGTAACATACAATCATGGTGCACCCCGTCGCAGAACAGCCCTTAGAGGAGACCCTGAACGAAAGAGCCTGTGCTGCTCAGTCTTATTCTCAACCCTGTCAGGGTCTTGCACCGGTACAAGCCTACCAGATCCTGCCTTTCTGGCATGATCTGGGCTCCTGCTTGAAGTGCCTAGCCCCATCACCTTCTTCCACGCACTCCCTGCTCCAGCTCGTGGGCTGACATCCGGACTGAAAGCCCCAATATTTGCCCTGTCCTGCATCACCTTGCTGGTGCTTATAGCCGACACCCTCACTGATGCATGAACTAGTTCATTCTCCCGCTCATCAACATCATAGAGAGGACGGGAGATCTCCAATCCCCTCCTGCGCCGCTCATCCACATCAAGCATTCCCCTGTGACCACTCCCTGCTCTTGTGCTGGTTACGTCAGGCTGCTCTCCAGGTGAAGTTTGTGAAGCCTCGGATGTCTCAGCTGTCCTTTCCTTTGCCTTCCAGTGGTCCTCCTCCTCGTCTTCCTCACCAGGGTGATCCGGCTGGCTCCACAGCCACTGCTGCACCTGCTGGAATTTCACATCTGGCTCAACAGGCGGGATCTCATCAGGATCAGCCAGACGCTGTGGCGAAACCCCTCGGATCTTCCCAAGGGACGGGACAAGCTGTCGCCAGCTTCGGGAGCTCCGCAGTGGCGATGACCTTCCCGCATGTGTGACAGCTTCAATTCTCGATGCAGTCCAGCTGCCGTCCCCACCCTTGTCGGCTGCATCCCAGAAAGCTTCTTTGCCTGGTTGGGGGTCGGCATTGTTCCACCCAGAAGAAGCCCCTTGCAGAGGAGAGGCAGGAGCTCTGCGTGCAGAGTAAGCATTCAGCTGCTTAGCTTCACCTGCTCCTCCTCCATTTCTGAATTCCTCAGCGTGCTTGCGAGGAGTTGAGGGCAGCAAGGAACCTCGAGGAGGAGGAGAAATGTCACGGACATCTGCAAGGCGTCCCTTCTGAAACGGTGTTACAGGCGGCGGAAGGAGCATGTCCCGCGGGGTGCCCAGCGCATCCAGCGGCTCAAAGTCTGGCAGATTCGGAGCTGTTGGGCGGAGTGGAGACGTAGGCGCCTGAACAGAGGGCCCCTGGAATTTCCTGGACTGAGGCGACTTGAGTGCAGCAGAAAGGGCAGCAGGAGATGCATACTGCGGGGATGGAGAGCGAGGGGCAGGTGCAGTGGGCAAGAGCAGTGGAGACGGATGGAAGCTGTCTACCTTGGCTAGGGTTTCCCAAGGGGGTGTTACACAGCGAGGAATGGCGTCCTGCCGAGCTGGCATGTGCTGCTCCGACGGTTGAGGAACCTGGGAGGGAGTGTACCTGGGAGATGGCCTGGCAGCAGGCTTCTCTCCTCCTCCTCCTCCAGGCTTTTGCTGCTTCTGTTTTTGGTACAGCATCTTGAACCTCTCGTGCCGGGTGGGCGAGCTCCGGTAGAGAGAGCCGCCCTTGTTGCTGTCGCTGGGCCGAGGTGATACCGGCACTGCTCCGGCTCCCCCTCCAGCTGCTGCTGCTGCTGCTGCTGCACCTGGAACCGGTGACACGCTGCGCTGGTACGGGGACTGAGCATGGGCCGGCGCATTGGCTGGGCTCCTGTAGCCGCCACCTGCACCTGCGTCCCGAGGGGCACTGCCACTTGGATACCTGGGAGAGGCGCCGGGTTGATAGTAGTGCCGCACAGGGCTAGACGGCACAGCACCAGCAGCAGCAGCAGCAGCGGTAGGCGTGCGCGGTTCAGGCATGGTCATTGCAGGCGGTTTCCGGGCTTCCCAAAGGCTGGGCTTGGCTTCTGCTGCTAATGGGCTATTCGACTGCTGCTGCTGCTGCTGCTGCTGCGCCATGGACCTTCCAGGTGGCAGCTTGAGCGGGGCTAGGTTGGGCGCAGGAGCAGTGGTGGCGGGTGAAGCGGGGGAAACACCTCCGCGCATAGCGCCAGGGTAAGGGGACATTGGCGCGTACGGGGAGGGGGGCCCGGAGGCAAGCGGGGAAGTCACCATATAAGGGGAGTTGGGCGCAAGCGGGGAGGTTGGCGCGCGAGGGGAGGCGGGCTCGTGCGGGGAGGAGAAGCGAGGGGCGGGAAGCGCGCGAGGGGACATCGGCGCAGCGCGCGGGGATTGCAAGGCAGCGGAAGGTTGGTGGTGAGGGGAGCTTGGGGGTACGGCGCGGGGAGATACCGGCGGGAATCGTCCCGGCGAGATCTGATTCATCTCCTTCTGCGCCATTTCCTGCCACCGCTGCTCTCTCCCCGACCTTGCGCCGTCCGCAGTCCGCGCGCTCGAATCTCCGCCAGCCGCGGGCGAGCGCGGCGTCATCGGTGCAGGGGAAAGCGCCGCCTCAGGCGCTCGATAGGGAGACATAGGCAACGCTGGATTCGAGGCGCGAAACGGGGACACGGGAGAAACGGGACGATGGGGGGAGGTGGAGCGCAGTGGGGAGAGAGAGCGAAGGCGCGACATCCCCGCTCCTCCCGCTCCGCTCTCCCCGCCTCCTACTCCGCCCCCACCCCCACCGCCGAACAGCGTCTTCTCGAAGCGCCGGGATGGATCCGCGCTGAGCGCCGCGGGGTCGTCGCCTTTCCGCCACTGCTGCTGCCGCCGCTGCAGCTCCTCCTTCTCCGCCTCTCTCCGCGCCTCTCGCTCCGCCTCCCGCTTCTCCTCTTTCAAACGACCGCTGCTCCCGCGCTCCGCATTCTCTCCCATCTCTTCCGCCCCTCCCCGGTAGCCATCGTCATTTTTCTCCCCCCCCCCGCGTGCATCGTCCCGCCCACCTCCCGACCTTCGTGCCTCCGCGTCCCTGTCATTCCTCGTCTCCCCGCGCCTGTCGCTCCGCCCCCCCGGACGCTCGTCTCGATCGCGCCGATCGTACGGCTCATCTCGCCTGTACGCATCAGCCTGTGCGCTTCGTTGCTTCCCAGCCGTACAGGCTGCGCTGCCACGGCCGTACGGATCATCCCGACCATCCCGTTCCCTCTCCGCACCCTCACCGCGCTGCCACCTCCCGCTTCTGCTCCCGCCCAGCGCACCTCCGCCGCTTTCCCGCGGAGTCCCCGCGTCTTTCGCGTCCGCGCCCCCTCCCCCCGACGCGCCGATGGCGAGCGCGAGGAACGACGACGACTTGAGATCCCCTTGCGACGGGTTCCGCGCAAGGCTCCCCGCCGTACGCGCGGGCGGGGGAGGCAGAGCTCCCCGCAGCCCGTCCCCACCGCTAGCAGCGCCGGAGGCGGAGCCACTTGTCCCCTCCGCTCCCCGCGCGCCCCCCTGCACACCCCGGCCGCCATTCGCTCCCTCTATAAGCACGCTCACTATACGCTCAGCGACCTTGGAAGCCTCTTTGGGCACGTCATGCGAGTCATGGCTTTTGCGTTGACCGTCGCGGCTCGAGCGACCCAGTTCCAGCCCCCACAACAGCCGATCCACGTCTTCGCATCCCAGCTTATGAATCTGCCGCACCGCCTCCGCCTCCCGTTCCTCCCACCGCTGCGCGTCTGCGCTGCTCTCGTCGCCTCGGCGCCAGCCCGGGTCGCCGCCGCCACTCCCGCCGCCGCCGCCGCCGTCGGCGTCGCCGTTGGCGGCGGCCGCAGCAGCCTCCAGGATGATATCGGCGCGCAGGCGCGCGATGACGCGCGACACGATCTCCACCACTTCCTCCACCGCGTCGCTCCCCGGCGGACACATCGCCACCCAGCGCCGCGCCAGTTGCTGCCGCCGGTTGCGCTCGCCCTCCCCCGGCGCCGCGTTCGCCAGGCTGCCCAGACAGCTGCTGCGGGGGACCAGCGCCGCGGCGCGCTGCAGCGCCGGGCCGCTGGGAGCGAGGCCGGCGGCGGAAGCAGCGGCAGAAGGAGAGAGTTTGGGCGACGCCGGGAACGGGTCGTGCGAGGAGCGCGGGCTCGCCGGCGGGAAGAGCGGAGAGCGCGGTCCGGCGCGGGCTCTCGGCGTCCCTGGCGCCGCCCCTGCCGCCGTCACCGCCGCCGTGGGGCTGCGCCAGCCATCGCCGCGCGGCGTGCCGGGCAGTTCGCGAGCCGTGTCGCCGTCCCAGGCGTCGCCCAAGGCGGCGTCGCTCCCGACGGCGGTGGCGGCGGCGATGGCGGCGAGCGCCGCCCAGAAAACGTCGAGAAAGAGCATCTGCAGGAACGCGTAGTAGCTCAGCAGACACGACTCGTTGGAGAACTTGTCCCACCTGCTACCCTTCCCCCCGCATTGCGCGGCGGGGGTGACGGCGAAGACGGGCACGCCGGCGACGAGCGACGCGGCGAGAGACGCGGAGGACGAGGGGTGGGAGGAGCGGGAGTTGCGGTAAGAGTGGGAGGGGAAGAGAGCAGCGAATTGATCCAGCTTCACTCGGTCGTCCATGGCGAGGCCTGCCGGCCAGTTGCTATCCGACAGCAGCGCCGCCACCAGGTCGGCGCGGCGCACGTCCTGCAGGCGCCGAATCGCCGCCATGTGCCCCGTGAAGCGACCGGCTTTCACGGACAGCTCGTCGTCTCGTAGCCCCATCGCGTCTATCTCCCCGCCGCCGTAGCCGCCGCCGCTGCCGCCGCCGCGATTGGCGCTGTCACTGGCGCCATCTGCGGCCTGCCTCCTGGACGCGTACACGTCGAGCGACAACCTCCGCGCGCCATCCTCCCGCGATCCCTCTTGCGCCTTCCCGCGGGACATCACGAGGCGGGGAAGCAGCTGCGCCGTTCCGCCTGCGCCTCCGCCTCCGCCTCCGCCTCCGCTTCCGCTGGCGTCGCTCGCGGCGGAGGGCAGCAAGTGCTCCGCGGGCGGCGGCGCTCTGTTGAGCCCCAGCGACTGCGCGTCCTGGAAGCGCGCCGTGATGTACGTGCGGAAGGCGGAGGACGAACACGTGGACAGAGCGCGCCGAGCCGAGAGCGGGGACAGGTCGCGGATGGGCGGAAGCGCGGGTTCCGACATAACCCCCACCGATTCCACCTCGGAGCTCCCACTGGACATGCTCATCTGCCGGCACGGCCCCGCCCCGCTTCCGCCGTTCCCGCCACCGCCACTCCCTCCGCCGCTCCCTCCGCCTCCGCTCCCGCGGCGCGCTCTGCTACTGCGATACGTGGCACTGCGTCCGCTTTCTCCGACCTCGGTTCCATACGTCTGCCCCGTTTCTTCCACTTGTGGCCTACCACCGCAATCCCTAGAATTTGCCTCTCTAGCTTCGTTTCCTCCTCCTCCTCCGTCTTCTCCTCCTTCTCTCCCTCCTCCTCGATCCCCGCGTTCTCCTCTTCCTCTTTCTCGTCCTCCTCCTCCGTACCCATGTTCCGCCCCCCCGTCGGCAGGTCTCATGGCGTGTCGGGAGCTTGGCGCATCACCGCGCGAGCGGAAGCTGCGGGAAGGCAAGGCGCGCGGCGGCGCGGCGTGCCTCGACTCTACTCTGCTCTGCGGGGACGCCTCAAGGCCGCTGCCGCTGCTGGGTCGGTTGCTTCCGCTGCTGCTGGTGGTACTGGCGATGTAGGCGCTGCTCGTGCTGTTGCTGTTCAAGTTGCCGTTGCTGTTGCTCACCGGTTTCCCCGCGTCGCCGCCGCTACCAGGTCTGCTGCTGCTGCCGCCGCTGCTGGGCATCCCTGCGGCGCCCCCACGACGGGCCGCGCGCAGAGCCGCCGCCATCTCGCTAGGCGACGCGAGCGAATCCATGGACCGGATTCGCTCCTGGAGTGTTTTCGACAATGTCATGTTCGCCGGCTATTACTAACGGCTAACTGAAAGCGGTTCGGAATTGACAAGTGGGTGGCGCGTGGGAGATGACGACGCGGCGCGTCATGCGGCGTGGTATTGGCGCGAGTGGTGAAGCGTGTCGCGGATTATTTAACCAGGCGACGCACTGCGGGACGTGTCAAGCGTGGCGGGTTAGTCCTATACAGGCGAGCGCGAGCTGTGCTTGTGAAGAGTGGGAGGCCTTGCATGCCTACTAAAATGCTGCTAGTGGCTCGACTACGACGAGAAACGTGTGCGCCGCATAACTAGGCGCGCTGCTGGCCTAAGCTACTATGGTCTCGCGTGCTGCGTACTGGGAGAGAAACGAAATGTCTTGCGTTGTAGAGCAAGGCGAAACGCCAATGTTTTCCACAGTAACCTAATTACTATGACGGTCGCTCAATACTGGCTTGAGGTCTAGCAACACCGTATGGGTTAGTCTTGGGGTGATCCACCCATGCCTCTCTCTCCTCGCTGACTGCTGATTTTCACCTCGTCACGACTTGTCGCTTCACAATCCCGCCGTCAACAAGGGTGATGCTTCAGCACGAGGGTGCTTGCGTGGCGATCGGCGTGCATGCTAAGTCGCGAGCAACAAATGTGGCGGACGGTCGGTGGGGTTTCTTGACGCACCCACCTACATCACCCCGCTATGCCGGCTTGAGATGCCTACTTGCGGCCAGTCATAACTCACGATACTCGCAAAACAGCCCCTCCCTTACCTCAACTCACGTAATGCGCACTGCAGACCAGTTGAAACTGGCCCTGCTCGACTTGTGAAGATGGCCGCCCACCAATTCATCACCAAACCAAACCCATGAAGCACGTTGCGCATGTCCACTAGGGCTTCGAACACCAAGGCAGCACTCAAAAGCGTACGGGAACCACCACCACTGCCATGGGTGCGAGGCAATTGGCGAACAGCGCCTCGTGCCAAGACTGCAGCTTCGGAAACAGGCTCGGGTCGGTAAATACCACGTCCTGCAACTGGCGGCTGGTCTAAGCACGGAGGCCAGGGTCTTCTCCGAACCAAGGAGGGAGGTTCAAGTATCTGACAGACTCTGACACAAAACGCTCCGCACGGATAATGGTGACACATCAAACGCAAACTTCTCAGCCGCGCCTCGGCATTTGGAAAACATCCGCGCCCTTCCAAAATTTGAAACTCTGGGAGGATGCAACCCAACAGCACACTTCGCGATACCACGAGATTCGTTAACGTGACAAAAACTTAATACAACTTTCAGAAGAACGGAACTGTTGTATGAAATTGTACACTCATAAATTAGCAAGATTAAAAAAGTACCATGGAAAAAGGTTAATAATAGCAGTGATAATCCATGTAATAACTTATTATAAGGAGATTTTTTACATTAAACGCTAATATATCGAACTCCCCACTCCTGTAAAAGCCACCTATATGTTTTGGTTTTTTTTCCGGCTAAAATTTTACGGTTATCCAAATTCTAACCATATCAATATGTTAGGGCATTTTCTATTTATTCTCTCTCTTTTTTTGTTTCTGAAAGGTGAGATCCCTTAGAATTGAGCCCATTCTCTTATTGTACCAATTTAGGGTCAATTATATGTTTTGCGACAGTTTGTGGTACCTCACACCAATACTCCATCTGCGGGATTGTACCGCCAAGAGGGGAAGAACTTGCCGAGGCACAACCAGCAGCTTTGCCCTGTGTTTCTTCATGCAGCTCCATCCGTGCGTGTGTCCGTTCCTTCAAAATACTGAAGCAACGCAGGCGACGGGACCCTCTGTGCTTTTTGTTTCGATATGTGGGAGGGTTCGGTAGCCGGAGCTGATGCTCCTAGCCAACCAGAGGAGCTGTTTATGCCAGAATACGTATATTGGTTGGTCTCTGGAACCATTGCGGTGTTTGCCATCCTACTGCTGCTGGTTATCTCAATATTAATCTTTGTGTGCTTCCGAAAGTTGAAGCATGCTACTCAAGATGCGGAAAAGTTGTCCGCGCAAGGCACTTATCCTGTGCGCTTTTCCATGCAAGAAATTCTCGAAGGAACACAGAATTTCGATCGGTCGGCTTTGATCAAGAAGGGACGCTTCTCTTCCTATTATATGTACCGGAAGCCTAACATGAACGATATGGTCGTCAGGCGACTTCACCGAAATGTTGTCCAGAATAGAAGCGCTGAGGACTTTGAATCGGCTGTCAAGAAAGTCGCGGCTGGAACAATGCACCCTAACCTTGTCAGGTTAATTGGATTCTCGACGGCCACAAAAGAGAGGGTGCTTGTTTTTGAAAGGATCGCAATGGGTAAGTTTGCCAATCTCCAGGACCATAGTTGTCAACACTCGATCGATGACGCCGTCCTTTGTGTGACAGGCTCTTTACATGCACACCTTCATGGAAGCTCAAAGAAGTCGTTAGACCTTGACTGGAAGTGCCGGGTCCAAATCTCTCTTGGTGTAGCCAGAGGTTTGAATCACCTTCATCAGGTGAGTCCTTTCAGGTATAATGGCAGGCAAGTATGACGATTTGGTGCGACTAACTTACTTGAAACATGCAGAGAGTCCCTCCGTTGCCTCATGGCATGCTTGACTCCACTCGTGTTCTGCTGGATGAGAATGGTACTGCAAAGCTTTCTGGATATGGCGAGCACTTACTCATACCAGAAGAAGCCTCACAGAAGATCCTGATCCATTCCATCAAAATGTCAGGTTATTCAGGTAATCCATTTGTTGTATTAAGGGCCTCCTCTAATCTGCATGATTGAACTAACATATCCAGCTTTATCACCCAGCACCTGAGCAGATTGTTCGAGGTCATGGTCCACTTCAGCCGTCTGAGTGCAGCTCAGACGTTTATGCGTTTGGAGTTTTGCTGTTGGAGTTGCTGACGGGACGAAAGGCTCTGGATACGTCAAGAGGGTCACACGAATCCCTCCTTGCCGATTTTTTTAAGCCCATGCTCAATGACACACAAACCCTGCTGACGTACATAGACCCAAGAATGCAGGTATGAGTGCAATGACTTTTGGTCTGTGAAAGAGATGACCCAAATGATTCTAACAATGTTTGCAGGGACACATATCTTTGGAGGACATATGCAGAGCTGCTGAGTTGGCAGCCGAATGCTTGATCATTGAATCCAATCAAAGAGTCAGCATGTCGACTTGTGTAGCAGAGCTTGTGCAGATTAGACATTCACAAAGGATTCCTTCCAGGTCACATTCCCCAGCTAGAGAATCTCCCAGCAGAAATGTCATATCCAAAGCGCAGAGTAGGCTTCATTACCATGAAACAAGTTGAATTTGCAAGAGATTATATATTTGCAGTGGTAATTTAAGATTGGAAAGCCGGTTACCTGATTATTGCAACTCTTGCATGTATGTTGAACTTTAATCTCTGCTTTCTTTGTGAACCAATCGGGCTGGTTTGCACCACGGCGCCTCGGCACACTCTCTTGATGCATACCCTCCATGTTTTCATGTGTGGGGACTTTTACCACCGGTTTTCCTCGAAATTCAGGGGCACATGTGGGAAGTATGGGCCTGTTGGTTCGCCATATCGTAAGACCCTTCGATGGCCGCCACACACAAGCATGATCCTGAAGTGGTCCAGCTAGTTAGCTGGTTTATTTCCGAAAGATGAGGTCCCAGGATCAAATCCCCCCTGCGGCGTATTCTGCCAGCCCCCACTAAAAGGGGCTACACAGGTGCTCATCTGGGAGTGGATAGAACCACCTCGGTACCCAGCTAGGCGTGTAAACAAATGGGGGCCGGGGTATACCAAAGGGGGTTTCTCCTATAACGTCCTTACCTTCACCTTTGCCACACACAAGCGTGGTAAAATGACCCGGTTTGACAGCGGCGAGCCCGTCGAAACTACCGCAGGATTTGCAGTGCAATCCCGGAAAAACACTCCAAAGTGAGCCCCAACGGGACCCGCGCCTGTATTCGAAATTCAAACACAATGCTGACATCCCGATGGAGCAAAGTGGATAGCTTTCCATTCCAACTGATCCTCAGCAGTTAGAAGGTGGTACTTTCAGTAGAAGGTTTCAGTGTCGCCAGGTCCGCAAATTCAAAGCTTCGGCAAAGCGCCACGCTTGTTCTTCACCGACCAATCGAATTCGCCTGATTCAACCGCCTCAAGTGCTACAATGCGCGACCTGCCGGTTGTTCGCCTCTCAGTGCAGCGATGGGCAAACCATCCGCTAACGGACTAGTATCCACTAACGAGTCACTCACTAGCGAGGCAGCCCACGGCGACACGCCGCATTCACCTCTAATGCACGTCACGCGATGACCGCCGCAGCGGCGAAGGAAAAAAGGAATGACGGAGGTATCTCGGAACCTCCGAGTCAAAAGAGGAATGCTGATGAGTCCTTGTCCCGATTTCGAATCGAGAGCGCTACTATTCAATTCGACTCCCAAATGTTACCACCACACGCCGTGTGCAACTCTCAGGGACATGGTGCTGCTGGTGGCTCGCTACTAGGAACGCATTCGACGTCCCTGAGGGACGGCGCGCTGGCGAATGATATGGACGAGGCGCTTCTGCACCACGCGCGCATGCTCGCGCGCGAGCGCAGCAAGCGCGCGGAAGCCTCTGCGCGCCGAGAGGAAGCGGAGGCGCGGTGGCGGGCGGCGCAACAGGAGACGGACGGTCTCCGCCGTGAGCTGGCCGCGCTGCTTTCGCGCGAGGCGGAGTGCGCGGGAGTGTCCGCGACGATCGTTGGCGGGGGGTTGGGGAAAGCAGGCGCGGGGATGGGGGGGCAGTTGGCGGAATTAGAGCGCGAGATGGGAGAGTTGCGGCGGGACGTGGGGGAGGTGACGCGGTGGGTGCGCAAGAGCGGGATGCGCGCGCGGGAGGGATGGCGCGCAATGGAGGGGATGATGGGGCGAATGCGGAGGCGGATGGATAGAGCGAGAGGGGAGGAAGGCGCGGCAGGAGGCGGAGGAGAGGTAAGAGGCGGGGGTGCAGAGGAGTGCGCATGGGAGAGACGCGGAAATGAAGCGGAGAGGGAAGATTGTGGAATGGGAGAGGAGCTTGGAGATGCGTGGAGCGTGCTTGGAGTGTGGGGAGGCGAGGCTGTAGCCGGGGGGGAGAGCGGGAACGAGAGAGGAGGGGCGCGGATAAACGAGCTCGGGGAGGGGGAAACGGGCAGCGGGGGGGGCGAAGAGGGGAGACGGCGGGGGATAGGGCGGGGGAAGGAGAGAAGGGGGGGTAGATGGGAGCGGGTAATAAGGCGGATTCGGGAAGTGGGGGCGAGGGTGCAGGGGGAGAGATGGCAGCAGGCTGAGTTGGAGCAGCAAGTAGAGAGGGCATGGCGGGAGGTGGCACGAGTTAAGGCGCTTTTTGAGGAAACCGTGGACGGGGAGGGGAAGATAGAAGACGGGGAAGGAAGGATGGGGCAGGGGAATGCGGGTAGTGAAGAGCGGGAGCAGGGGGGCGGTTTGGCAGGGTTGAGAGTGGTAGGTGTTGGTGAATTGGCGAAGGAAGAGAGTGCGGTAGGCAGGGGAGGGATGGGTGGGATAAGAGGGATGGAAAGGGAGGTAGAGGGGACAGAGGGAGAGAAAGGACTTGAGGGGAGTGCAAGGGAGGGGAGGCGAGTGGATAGGGTCGGAGGGGGGGAGGATGAGGTGGTGGAGATAGTGTGTGGGTGTGCGGTTGAGGCGAGTGCGGAGAGTGAAAAAGAGGTGGTTTTCGAGGGGGACCGAGGAGGGGAGGAGTCTTGTGTAAGTCATGGGCTTGGGAGGGAAAAGCGGTTGAAACAAGGTGGAGGGGACTTGAGAAGGATTCAGGAGGTAGACGGGGGGCTTGAAAGGACGTGCGAAGGGGAGTGTAAGGGAGAGTGTGAGGGAGGGTGCGAGGGAGAGTCTGAAGGGGAGTACGAAGGGGAGTGTGAGGGGGTGTGTGATGGGGGCGAGGTAGGAGGCATGACGCATGTGTTAGCAAGGGTGGAGGCGGAGTTAAAGCAGGTGCAGGCGCAGGTGAAGTGGGTTGCAGGCAGGCGGAGCGAGGTGCAGCAGTGCATTCACGCAGTGTGGGCGCGCATGGTGCTGCTGCTACAGGGGCAGGTGGAAAGGGCACGTCAGGAGGAGAAAGACGGGATGAAAGAGGAGGGAAGGAGGGCGCAAGTAAAGGTGCTGGAGAGATTGCTGAGAGAGGAGGAGGTGGGGATGAGGGAAGTGAGGGAGAGAGTGAGGGTGATGGAGGCACAGTTTGAGGAGGAGAGGGAGAAAGTGAGTGTGAGAGAGGGGAGGGTGGAGGTGCTGGAGAGTGAAGTGCGGGAGGCTGAGAAGAACGAGAGAGGGGTGAGGGAGGAGGCGGAATGGAAGGGAGTGAGAGTGAGGGAGTTAGAGGAGGATGTGAGGGAGAAAGAGGAGAAGGTGAAGGAGCTTGAGAGTAGGTTGGTAAAGGCAGGTGTTGCAATGAGGGAAGCGGAGGAGTGGCTGCTAGTGGAAAAGGAGAGGACTGGGAGGTTGGAGGAGAGAGTGAGGGAGCTTGAGGAGTTGGTGAGAGCGAGAGAGGTGGAAGAGACGAAGGAAGTGGTAGCAGAAGAGGTGAGGGAGACGCCGAAGCAGGTTGTGCTGGTGGAGGTGGGGGTAGAGGCAGAGGTAGAGATAGGAGCAGAGGTAGAAGAGCGGAGGAAGCAGGCTGGGGAGCTGGAGAGGGCGGCGGGGGTGAGAGAGGGGTGCGCGAGGTGTGTGGGGGAAGAGAGTGTGCGGAACGGTGTGTTGGAGGAGGAGGTGAGTGAGTGGCGGAAGCAGGTGGAGGTGATGGGAGGGGAGGTGGAGAGAGGGAAGGATGCGGTGAGGGAGATTGAGGAGGAGGTTAGGAGGCTGAGAGGGGAGGTGAGGGCGTGGGAGGAGGAAGCTGGTAGGTGGAAGGTAGAGGCGGAAGAGAGAGAGAGGAGAGTTGTGGTGCTTCAGGGTGATGTGGCGGTGCTGCAGGGTGAGTTGACAGCGCGCCGTGCTGAGCTGGCGAGGGTTTGTGCTGAGGTGGCCGCAGCGAGAGAAACAATCTCGGATCTAGAGGGAAAACTGCAGGAGCAAGAGGGGAGGGTAAGACAGCAGGAGGCAAGGGCAAGGGAGCAGGAGGAGAGGGTAGAGGCTTTAGAGGATCAGGTAGCAGCGAGAGATGCGAGAATACGATGGATGGAGAAGGCTGGGCTGGACACTTGTGCGAGGTTGAGAGCAGTGCAGGAGGAGGTGAGGGCGCGGGAGGAGAGTATAGCGGAGATGGTGAGAGAGGTGGGTGTGCTGGGGAGAAGAGTGGAGGAGGCAAGGGGAGAGGCGGTGGAGCAGGGGGAGAGAGTGAGGGAGCTTGAGGGGGTGGTGAGGGAGATGGAGAGGGAGAGAGAGGAGGGACGGATGGGCGGGGTGGAGACGGGTGGGGGGAGAGGGACAGGGAAGGGAGGAGAGATGGAAGGGGGGGAGATGAGATTTGGAGAGTGGAAAGGGGAGGGGAGGGAAGGGATGAGGAGCACGATGGTAGTGAGGGCTGGTTGTGTGGATGATGCAAGGGAGGTTGTGGGTGGTGTGGGTGCAGGTGTGTGTGTGGCGAGAGGGACGGAAACAGAGGTAGTGGGTGTGAGAGCGGAGGAAAATGATGGGACATCCGTGGTTGGTAGTACAGAAGAGAATGGTGCCATAGCTGTTATGGAAGAGGAAATGAGAGGAGAAGGAACAGGGGAAGCAGAAGGGGCAGGAGCAGCAGGAGCGGCAGGAGGGGCAAGAGAAGAGGGGGGGAGGGATGGATTGGTGAAAAGGCAGGGAGAGGAGGAGGGAGAGGCGGCTTTGCTGAGTGAGCAGGTGCGGGAGAAGGAAGAGAGAGTGAAGGAGCTGGAAGGAGAGATAGACAGGGTGAGAGGGGAGGTGACGAAAGAGGTAGAGAGAAGGGTAGGCATGGAGCGGGAGCTGGGGAAAGAGAAGGAGCGGCGGAGAATGGTGGAGGCGTCAAAAGCACATCTGTTTCTGCAGCACCAGTCGGTACAGGAGCAGGTGTACAAGCTAAAGATGCTGATGGAAGGGCAGAGGAGGGAGGTGGAGAGCAGGCAAGCGGCGGAGAGGCGAGCAGTGGAAGAAGCAGAGGAGGCTGAGAGAGTGCAGGAGGAGCTGCAGGGAGTGATTGCAATGAGGGAGAGAGAGCTGGAGTTGCTGGGGGAAGAGAAGGAGGCTGGGGAGAGGAGGGGGATGGAGGAGGTGGAAGGGTGGAGGGAGAGAGTGAGGGAGGTGGAGGGTGAGGTGGAGGAGAAGGGGAGGGAGGTTGTGAGGCTGGAAGGGGAGGTGGTTGCGTTGAGAGAGAGATTGGGAGGAGCATTGGGGGAGTTGGAGAGGGTGGGAGAGGAGAGGGATAGGCTGCAGCGGTTGGTGGGGGAGATGGAAGGGCGGGTGGGGGGGTTGGAGGGAGAGAGAGAGAGAGTGGAGAGTGAGAAGAGGGCAGTGGTTGAGGAGGTGGGGAGAGTGAGGGAGGAGAAGGAGGAGGTGGAGAGGAGAGTGGGGGAGATGAGGGAGGAGGTGGAGCGAGTGCGAGAGGAGGCGGACGTGCTAAAAGAGAGGGTGGTGGGGCTTGAAGAGGAGGTGGAAAGAGATAGGAGGGCGAAGGAGGAGGCGGAGAGGGAGAGGGAGAAGGTGAGGAAGGAGGTGGAGAGAGGGAGAGAGGTGGCTGTGGCGCAGAGGCAGCGGATGGGGGCGATGGAGGGTCGTGTGGTGAGCCTGCAAGAGGAGTGTGAGGCGCTGCATGAGGTGGTGCAGGCGAGGGAGAGGAGAGTGCGGGAGGTGGAGGAGGAAGGGGAGAGGAGAGTGAAGGAGGTGGAAGAGGAGGGGAAGAGGAGAGTAAGGGAGGTCGAGGAGGATGGGGAGAGGAGAGTGAGGGAGGTGAAGGAGGAGAAGGAGAGAGCGGAGGAGGACTTTGGGCGGGTCGTGGAAGAGAGGGAGGAGCTTAGGGCGAAAGTGAAGAGTTTCCAAGAAGAGGTGGATAATTTGAGGAGAGAGGTGAGGAAGAGGGAAGAGGAAGGTGAGGGGGAGAGAAAAGAACGGTGGGAGGTGGAGAGAGAGGGGGAGCGGTTGCGCAAGGTGGTGGAGGAGAGGGAGGAGGAGGTGAGGAGGGTGAGAGGAGAGGAGGAGCGGAAGGAGAAAGAGGTGGAGGAGATGCAAGGGGAGAGAGACAGGTGGAAGGGGTTGGCGGAGGAAAGGGAGAGGAGGGTGTGTGAGATGGAAGGGAAGGTGAGAGAGATGGAGGAGAGGGAGGTGGGATGGAAAGACAAAGAACGGGAGTGGAAGCATAAGGAGATTGATTGGAAGGAGAGGGAGGAGCAGTGGGAGAAACAGGTGGGGGAAGCTAGGAGGGCTGCAGAGGATGCAAGGGAGGGGATGAACCAAGGAAGAAGGCGAGAGGAGAAACTCAGGGAGAAAGTGCGGCATGGGGAGGAGGAGGTGGGGAGGCTGAGACGAGTGGTAGGGGAGATGGAGCGAGAACGAGATGAGCTCAAGGTCCTGGTGGTAGAGGGGGCGAGGCGAGTGGGGGACGCAGAGGGGGAGGTGCAGCGGTTGCGGTGTAGGGTGGAGGAGATGGGGAGGGAGATGGCGAGGGGTGTGGAGGAGGAGAGGAGGAGGAGCGTGGAGGAGGCGGGGAAGGGAGAGGTGGTGCTGCTGCAGGTGGCACGAGCGGCGGAGGAGGTTGTGGTGGTGAGGAGGGAACTGGATAGGGTGAGAGGGGAGAATGAGGCACTGAGTGGGGAGATTGAGACGCTGAAAGGGGAAAACAAGACTCTGAGAGGGGAGATTGAGATACTGAAGAGGGATGGAGAGCAGTGGGCAATGCAGCAGAGCCAGGAGAGTGGGTGTTTGGGGGGGATGGGCGAGCAGCAGGGGGACGCGAATGGGAGCAGGGTGCATGGAGGTGTGGAGGGAGAGAGTGAGTGGGCAAGAGGGGCGAGAGAGGAGGAGCGGTGGGTGGAGGGATTGGAGGAGAAGAGTAGGGAGGTGAGAAGGTTACAGGGCGAGGTCGCAGCTGCAAGGGCTGAGACACAGAGGGTGGACGCAGAGAGAAGGGCTGCTGCTGCGGCAAGGGAGAGTGAGGCGGAGGAACGGGAGAGAGTGGAGGGGAAGTGGCGGGAGAGTGAAGAGGTGGTGTGTGTGCTTATGCGAGAAATAGAGGAGCTGAGGCGGGCAGGGCAGGCACGGGAGGTGGAGGCCCGGCAACTGGCTGGAGCGGCAGTGAGAGAGCTGGATAGGCTGAGGGAGAGAGTGGAGGAGGTGGAGGCAGCAGCTGAGGAGGCAAGGAGGATGGTGGTACAGGCAGAGGAGGAGGGCCAAGGAAAGGGTTCAATGCAGGGAAGGAGACACAACACTGCTGCTGCTGCTGCGGCACCTGGCTGTGCAAGCAGTGCCGAGGTGACTGTGCAAGAGCAGGCAGAGGGCCGGGGAGCGGCAGGGCAGCAGCGCAAGCAGCGTGGTGGGCGGAGCACGGGCAAGGGCGCGGTGCTGCAGGGGTGGCAGGCGAGGGAGATAGAGGCGCACATCCAGCACATGGAACGCGTGTGCCACCGCTTCCAGGTGTGTGAGCTGTGGGGGCGACAGGCGGGTGGATGGGTGGGTGGATGGGTGTGTGTGTGCGTGTCCTGGTTGTATTTGTGTGGGAGGCAAACTAGTGTCAACACAGCGTTATTGCTTGCGAAGGAGGGAGGGAGTGAAAGCCTTACAGTCTCTCCATTGTGGCACCCTTGGCCCCGCTTATTGGGAGTGTGCGTGCATGTGCGTGCACATGCATGCGCATGCGCTTGCACATGCGTGCTCTGCCTCTATTGCTGTGCGTGCACGTGTGCATGTGCACATGTGTGTGCGCACTTAATCCACCAGTATTCCTGCCCTCCCACTCTTCACCTGCACCACAGCACAGCTCCACTTCTTCTTCCTTCCCATCCCCTTCGCCCCATCCCATCCTCCTCTACATTCCTCCCATCCATCTGCCCGCTCCCCTCTGCTGACCCGGCCTTCATCTCCCCTAATCCCCCCCCATGGAGCAGGAGGCTCTAGAGGCAAAGCGGGAGCAGGTGGGGCGATGGGAGGCGGCAGTGAGGGAGGTGGTGAGGGGGGCGGAAGAGGAGAGGGCAGCGCGGGATGCAGCACTGCGCACTCTCATGGGGGAGCTAGCGTCACACCAGTCACAGTTGCAGTGAGTGCACCATTTACAGTGAAAATATTTCCCTACGGATTGCTTCCCTGGTGCCTTCCTCCCCCACAGCCTCCTCCTTTTCCTCCCCCACAGCCTCCGCCTTTTCCTCCCCCACAGCCTCCGCCTTTTCCTCCCCCACTGCCTTCCTTCCCTCCCACCGCCCTCCTCTTTTCCCTCGCCTCACCAGTTGCATCAATCTAAAGCCTTCACAACTAGCTCCTGATCCTTCCTCGCCCATCTCTGACCCCATCTCTCCCATACCTCCTTCCCCACTGCCTGCGACCACCATCTGCGTCCACCACGCCCCATGTCTCCTCAGCCTCACCATGCAATTTGTTTACAGTCTACTCCACACCACTCCACACCACTCCACACCACTCCACTCCACACCACACCACACCACACCACTCCACACCACTCCACGCCACACCACACGACACCACACCATACCACACCGCATCAGACCACACGCCTAAGCCCTGCTGCAGGGTTGTACACTATTTTCACTTCTCGCCGTTCCCCCGTCCCGTCCACTCCCGTTCTTCTCCTCTTCCCCTCTCCCCCCACCCTCTTTTCTCCCCTCCTCTCCCCTCGTCCTCGCTATCCCTGCCAACAGGCCACCATCTCCCTCCTCCACCATCCACCGCGCCTCCACCCTGGCCTTCCACCACTCCCACACGCGCCTGCAGCGGCTGAGAGAGCGAGCGCGAGAGCTGGTAGGCGAGGCAGAGGGGTGGGAGGGGGATGGAAGGGTGATGGAGGAGCAAGCCTGCGAGTTGGTGTGGGGGGAGGCAGGGGAGTGGGAGGGGCGTGAGAGGGTGGGGAAGCACTTGGTGGTGCGGAGCAGTGGGTTGGCTTGTGGAATCCCAGCAGAGACACCATCAGCAGTAGCAGTAGCCATACCATTACCATCAGCAGTTGCAGCAGCAGCAGCAGCAGCAGCCAACAGTGGCAGCTGTATGCATTTGTCAAGCAGCCACATCCGTTCCATCTCTATCCTCACACTCACCACCACCACCGTCGAGATCCAGACATGGCTCAGTGAGCTGCGTGCGTGCAGTAGGCTTAAAGCGACTGGCAACTTTTGGCAGTGTTGGGTTCAGAAGTTTTTTTTTTGAACCAGGCTTGCCAGCGCGAAAGTGTTGGCTGGCGAAAACCAGGATTTCGTGCAGACACTTTTCATCTGCAGTAACAGTTCGCCAGGGTTCTGGGTTTTGGGTGGCAAATGTGCACCGTCGCTTTAAGCAAAGGAAAAAACAGCAATAAAATTCCGCTCTATGTACAACTAAGTGCTCAGAACGATCTTAGAACCCAAATTCTTAGCAGTAGAGTAAAACAGGGACAAACATGTTTCGGTCTATTACGGGGGAAAGGCCCGATCAGACCTTCATCAGTGCCAACAATGAGAAAGAAGGGCTAAGCAATGCCTCTAAAGAGAAGCAAGGCCTCTAAGAAAGCGAACTCTAGGCTATCCACACCCAGGTCACCCAAATGACGGGGACCAATCCAGACCACCCTCGAAAACTTCAGGCAGCCACGTCTTCAACTTCCTCGAGAGTGTCAGCGTGAAGGGTTGGGTTCAGATTTTCGCCAAGGGGCAACTTCGGAAGTCGCGCGCGCACCAGTAACCTCTGAAGGTTACAACCAATTTTCCACGCAACAAACATTTTCTCCACGTATAACCCGCGTGTGATGAGTCGATTTTTAAGTCGACTTAAAAGGACCCCTAGCCCGAGTCGTGCAGTAACAGGAGTGTACTGAGTCTTCAAGACTAGGGGCCCACGGGATGGGAGAGTTGTCTGTTGGCGGAGCGCTTGGTTGGCGATGGTGCTGGCGAAAAGTTCTGAACGATGAGCGAAGATGACACTTTTGAAGATGGGGTGCAGAAACACGGGCGGGTAACCACGGTCACGAAGGCGGAGGAAGAAAGACCGCTTCGTTGCTAGGAAAGTCGCAGCTGAAGTTGAGCGAAGAAGGTAACGTCTTAGCTCTGCGCGAATGAAAGACTCCTTGCAGTGCCGTGGATGGAAGGAAGCGAAGGGAAGGTACAGATACTTATTCACCGGCTTCTGGTACGTGCCGAAGTCTAAAGTACCCCTCTCCTTAAAACGCGGCCCCTTGAAAAGAACAGCGTCAAGAAAATCTATGGAGCGATCCGAGATAGACCATGTGATCCTAATGTCAGGATCCAGCGCGTTGAAGGTCTGCAGGTAGGCTTCCAGTTCTACCCGCGTCCCTGGCCAAATGATTAACCCGTCATCGATGTAGCGCGCATGGTACAGAGGAGATATCCCGGTCCACTTCTCCTTCAGAAGCTCGTCCAGACGGCTCATAAACAGGACCGCGAAGTAGACAGCTACAGGTGTCCCCATGGCTGTTCCCCGCACTTGATGATAGGTCCGGCCGTTGAATTCCACGAACGAATTCCTCATGACCCAGCCCAGCATGGCCATGAGAGGTGGGGCGAGCTGTGGTTTCTCCCTCATCAGAAAACTGCTGACCGCATCAAGGCCGCGCTCAATCGAGATGCTGGGGTAGAGCGCAGCAACATCATACGTCGCGAGCAGAACTGTCGTAGGAAAGGCAGTCCGTTCCAGCGTCGTCAGCAGCGAGAGGGAATCCCGGAGGTAAGTTGGGCGGTTAAGTACCAGCGAGCGAAGTTCTGCGTCCAGCCATTTGCTCACAGGAGTAGTCACCCATGAGTGTGAAGCGGCGATCGGCCGCCCCACGGGGACTTTCTCGTGAAGCTTCGGCAGTGCGTAGAAAGCAGCTGGTCGCCACCCTCCAGGTGGTTCCTTGAAAAAATACTTCCAGAGGCTGTCAGGGAAAGCCGGTCCCCACGTCGTCTGTAAGATCCGCAGCTGCTTCACGACCTGTGGCGTTGGATCATGTAGGATCGGCTGGTACACTGCTTCATCCCCGAGATGTTCCATGCAGAGGTTGATGTAGTGCTGCCGATCTAACACCGTCACACCCACGTTCTTGTCAGCTGGCTTAATCACGATGCTGCGGTCAGAGGCGAGGGAGCGTAACGCCTTGCGCACACCCAACGAGAGGTTGAAACCGCGCCGTGGCGTTGTCGCTTTCATCAAGAAAGAGAGGTCCGAATGGGCCTCCTTGAAGACCGACTCCGGGACAACGTTCCGATCAGGTTTCCAACTAGGATTCCGCACACGAAAGCGTACAGGTTCCGTCGGGTCACCCTTCTCCTTGAAAAAAAAATGAAGAGAAGTCAGCCGATGCAGTTGATCGAGATCTGCTTCGACTGACGGATTCCTGGTAGGTGTAGGCACAAACTTCAAACCCATCCCGAGTGCTCTCCGCTCATCAGTGGTAAGAGTTTTAGCACTCAGGTTATGCACCCCGCTGTTCCGCACGCGTGACATCACTTGTCGAACAGTCAAGCGGCCGAACCAGCGGAGCGCGAGGTCGTGTGCCGTTACTTCTTGTTCAGGGGCCCTTTTGCGGGGCCGCCGCCTCCGTTTTTTGGAACCCAGGCCTTCTTCGAGGAGGTAGCGTTCTGGCCCTTCTCCTTGCCGTCCGTCGGAGCGTCAGCTTTCTTTTTCTTCCCGCGCTTCTTCTTCGCCTTCTTGTTCGGTGGCGTCGAAGCAGCAGCAGGGGCCGGCGTCGAGTTCTTGCTCTCCAGCGAAACCTTCTGCAGCGCCGCCGATAGGCCTTTGTCCAGCTTCGCCGCGAACTCCCTGCGTAGCTTTTCTTCGGCCTTCTTCACGTGCTGCTGAACGATCTCGTTGATCGCCGGATCCGTCTCCATGCTGTCCATCTCCTCAGCAGCGGCAGCTTTCTTCAACTCCTCAGCTTCACGTTTCTTCTGCCGATCCAACTCCTGGATGATGATCTCATCCTTGGCGACCGCTATCTCAGACCGCGCCTTCTCGATGCACGCACCCTTGATCTTCCTGTACTTCTCCTTGGTAGCGTCAAACACCGCCAAGTCAGGGTTGGCTGAGAGGCTCTGCAGGTAGTCTTCAAGCTTTGTCGCCAGAGTCGTCACGTGCGAGTTAGAAGCCGCCAAAATCTCCTCAACCTCCAACTCCTTAGACGCAATGAAGTCCTTCTGGATTCGTTTCTGATTTTCCAGATGAAGCGCGGCAACCGACGCAGCAGACTTCTCCCGTACGCTCGGGTACTTCGTCTGAAACTCGACGGGCTTGGTGCGTAGACTGTGAAGTATCACCCCCTGCTCATCGAGTAACTTCATCTTCTGAAGTTTGGACTTCGCCTTCAGGAGTGACTTGAAATCCGCCCTGAAATCCTTGACTGCCGTCGTCGTCCAGCCCTTGAGAAGTTCAGGAATACTAATGGACGGATCCGATGAAGCAGGAGGATTGTTGCTCGTGCCAGCCATAGCCGGCGCAGCAGCAGCGTTCGGAGCGGCTTCCACATCCATGTCGGGAAGAGAATTTGTTTGCTCGTTGTGCGATGTCGGTTCGTGAGTTGAAACGGGAATTGAAGTCTGGTTGGCTTGGCGGGACCGCTTGTGAGCACGATAGCCCGCGTAAGTCTTCGCAGAGTAACCCGCCTCACGAATTACAATAGCAGAACTGCCTTCTGCACGCCCGGCTTCTTCTGAGTGAATCGAAAGTTCCACGCGAGATCCGGACATGGCTCAGTGAGCTGCGTGCGTGCAGTAGGCTTAAGCAAAGGAAAAAACAGCAGTAAAATTCCGCTCTATGTACAACTAAGTGCTCAGAACGATCTTAGAACCCAAATTCTTAGCAGTAGAGTAAAACAGGGACAAACATGTTTCGGTCTATTACGGGGGAAAGGCCCGATCAGACCTTCATCAGTGCCAACAATGAGAAAGAAGGGCTAAGCAATGCCTCTAAAGAGAAGCAAGGCCTCTAAGAAAGCGAACTCTAGGCTATCCACACCCAGGTCACCCAAATGACGGGGACCAATCCAGACCACCCTCGAAAACTTCAGGCAGCCACGTCTTCAACTTCCTCGAGAGTGTCAGCGTGAAGGGTTGGGTTCAGATTTTCGCCAAGGGGCAACTTCAGAAGTCGCGCGCGCACCAGTAACCTCTGAAGGTTACAATCTCAGAATAACTAGGCAAGAATGAATGAACTAGCAGAAGTTTGGGTACAAATATGAAACCCTAGTTGGGGTTGTACCCCATATTGGCTACCCCACTACAGCCTACCAACATATAACACATTACAATTTAACACACCCCCATAGGCAAAGTGGGGGAGAACAAAGGGTCACAAGACCAGTCCAGCAAAGCAACGCAAGCCCAGGGTGGATCACAACGTCACCACACTCCGAGCACAAGCAAAGGCCACAAGGCCAGTTCACATGCAGTGCTAGATATAGTACAAGACAAGCAACACAGTGATCAAAACCTAGCAAGCAAGCAACAAGATATATATAAAGTACAGTACAAAGAATGTCAAGCAGTGAGCAAGTGAGGAAACGTGGACACAAGGCCTAAAGAAGTACAGTGCCGCTGATGATCACTAGGCGGGAGCGCCTTGGTGAAGATATCAGCAGTGTTGGCCTTCGAGTCCACGTACACAAGCCGAAGCTGACCGCGCTGCTGAAGCTCTCGAGCAAGAAAGTAGCGAAGAGCAATGTGCTTCGTCCTGTGCTCCAGTCTGTGCTCCTGACACAAGGCAAGAGCCGCCTTGTTGTCACCGTACAGAACTGGAGGAGAACTAGGCCGCTCTCCCAAGTCAGTCAGCAGGTAGGTGAGCCAGCGTAACTCCTGTGCAGCCATGGCTGTGGCGTAGATCTCAGCCTCACAACTAGAGCCGAGAACAGAGGAAGAGCGGGTGGACCGCCACGAGACAGAACCAGAGCCAAGGCTGAAGGTGTAACCCTGTGATGACCGCTGCGTAGCCAGGTCGTCCACCCAAGAAGCGTCCGAGTGACCAGTGAGGACAACTCTGTCGCGTCCTCCAAGCACCAGCCCCATGCCTGATGTACTGCACAAGTAACGCAGCACCCTCTTAGCAGCCTCCCAGTGCTCTCGCCTGTGTCTCCCAGGCGCAACGTAACGAGCAAGGATGCTAAGAGGGTACGCGAGGTCAGGTCGCGTGCAAGTCATCAGGTACATGAGGCAGCCTACAAGCTCTGGGTACGGGCCACTCGGCTCTACGGACTCGTCCGGAGGTGGAGCTGAGAGCGAGTGGCTGGTAGCCAGAGGTGTGGCCTGAGGTGAGGAGAACTGGAAGCCGAAGCGCTGAAGGACCTGCTGCACCATGTGTGACTGAGTCAGGGTGATGGTGCGGCGAGCTCTGTCCCGGGTGATCTGCAAGCCAAGGTAGCTACGCAGTTCACCCAGGTCAGTGCAGGTGTGTCTCTTCTGCAGCTCCGACTTCACACGAGCGAGTGCCTCAGTGTCAGCAGTAGCAAAGACCAAGTCGTCGACGTACACGAGAATGTAGAACGGCGGCAGCGACGTGTCTGTGCGCAGAAACAGCGACGGGTCAGCAGTAGACGGCGCGAACCCAAGAGCCGCAAGTGTAGTCCTCAGTGTGTCGTGCCACTCACGTGGCGCCTGGCAGAGACCGTAGACTGGCCGGCGGAGGCTCCACTGGGTACCAGGGGGAAACGACCCAGTAAAGCCAGGTGGGCGGCGCAACCAGATCTCCTCGTGCAGGCTGCCCTGCAGGAACGCTGTGCTGAAGTCAAGAGAGTGAAGCTCGTAGTCACGCTGAGCAGCAACGTGCAGCAGAACCCGAAGAGTGGTCATCTTCGGGGTGGGGGAGAAGGTCTGGAAGAAGTCGACCCCCTGACGCTGACTGAAGCCTCTAGCAACGTAACGAGCCTTGAAGACAGGCGGAGAACCTGGCGGCCGCTTCACCCTGAAAATCCACATGCCATCGACGATGTTCGCCCCAGGAGGGGGAACCTCGTCGACGTAGGTGCCTGTGGACTTCCAGGATGCCATCTCTGCGTCCATGGCTGTCTGCCACTGAGAGGAGTAGGGACCCGAGATCGCCTCTGCGTAAGTGCGCGGAGTGGGGATGTCTAGTGCATCCGGGTCTCCCTCAGGGGCAAGCAACCAGGCCACGAGATGAGGTACAGCAGCCGCAAGAGAGTCAAAGTCCTCCTGCCTGTCCTCAAGGACGTCCGTGCCAAGAGCACACTCACCCCCGACGGACGGAGGACAGACAGACGCAGACTCAGACTCAGCAACAAGGCTAGCAGCGTAGTCTAGACGACAGGCAGCAGCAAAGTCAACCAACTCAGTGACCAGAGCAGACGCAGCCGAGGACTCAAAGGTAGGGTCAGTGACAACAGTAGCTAGGAGACGCGTGACAGTAGGGTGCTCAGCGCGATACCGGTCAGACTCAGGGTCCGGAACGGCAGGCAAAGAGGACGCAGGAGGAGACGGTAGAGGGACACGCTGAGGAGCAGTAGAGGGACGCAGAGTCATGTAGTGAGTGCCTGGGACAGGAGGAGGACGCTCACGACGGACACGACTACCAGTGCGAGCAGGACGAACAGGCGACGCAGGACGAGACTCAGGCTCACGACGCTCTGTAAGACCTCCTGTGGGACCAGTGTAAGGAGAGGGAGCAGGGAGAGGCGAGGTAGGCGGTAACTGTGACTGCGGCTGGACAGGCGGAGGACACTCTACGGAGGGAGGAGGACAAGGAGGAGGAGCCTGCCCAAGAACCTGCTGAAGGAGCGGTACGAAGTACGGTCGCGGCCGCGCAGCGTCTCCAGAAGCAGAAGAGACTCCAGCGGCCGGGTCCTCAGTACCAGCAGGAGCCCCAGCGTCCGAGTCCCCAGCACCAGCAGCAGCGCCACCGCTCGGGTCCCCAGCTCCAGCAGCAGCTCCACCAGGTGGGTCCGCAGCACCAGCAGCAGCGCCACCCCCAGGGTCCGCAGCACCGCTAGGAAGAGCACCCCCAGAGTCGGCAGCTCCAACTCCGCTAGCACCACCAGCTCCAGAGGCCCCAGCTCCAGCAGCTCCAGTCGTAGTGCTCCCAGAACAACCAGTCCCGGCAGCTCCAGTACCCCCAGTACGAGCACCCCCAGGACGAGCAGCTCCAGTACCCCCAACTCCAGCCGAGCCACTAGGACGGCGAAAGCGCCGGACGTACCAGTCACGAAGCTGCTGCGGTGTGAGAGACTGCTCAGCACCCCGAACCGGAGCACCCCCAGACGCAGCAACCCGAGGCTCCGTAGGCTCAGTAGCAGCACCCCCAGGCTCAGCACCCCCAGACTCCGCACACGCAGGCTCAGCACCCCCAGTCGCAGCACCCCCAGGCTCAGCACCCCCAGCTCCAGCACCCGCAGTCCCAGCACTCCCAGGCCCAGCACCCGCAGGCTCAGCACCCCCAGGCTCAGCACTCCCAGCAGTACCACCTGCAGCAGCACCTGAGTCACCTGTGACCTCGACAGGCTCAGCGACGGGAGGAGGGTCTACCTGAGAGACACCTGAAGGAGCAGGACCCTGAGGGGGAAGGGGGTCTACCGGAGGGGGACCAGGAGCAAGGAAAAGCGGCGGGGGAGGGAGGGGGGCAGTGCGGTAGGGGAAGAGACAGTAAAAGGGAACCGACTCGTCAAAGGTGACGTCCTGAGAGGCGAAGACCCGGCGCGAGGTGGGGTGGTAAAACTGTCAGCCAGGCGCGTCAGGGACAAAGCCAAGGAAGACACAGGGAAGCGTGCGGGAGGAGAGCTTGTCCGCGGACGTATCGCGGACAAGGGCACGAGCACCCCACACCCGGAAGCGCGACGCATCGCCAACCTCCCCCGTCCAACGCAGTGTGGGCGAGGTCTCCGGTAAGGAGACACGGGGCCAGAGGTTGAGCTGATGCGCGGCGTACCGGACAGCAAACGGCCACAGAAAATGGGGAGCCGCCGCGTGGACCAAGGAGGTACGAGCGACCTCCATGACCAGGCCAATGCGGCGCTCAGCAACCCCATTCTGCTGTGGGGAGTCCGGAAGCGTGAAGGTCTGCTCGATGCCCTCCGCCTGACAGAAGGTCCTCAAGAGATCGGAGGAAAACTCACCACCTCTGTCAGAGTGCAGACGCAGGACAGGAAGATCCGTCCGGAAATGGCGGCGGAGCTGGAGACGAACTGTGCGGATCCAAGGGATCAGAACAGCAGGGACCTCACCCTTGGTGCGCAAGGGGAAGACTGTGGTGTAACGCGAGTAGTCGTCGACAACCAGCAAAAAGTACCGCTCACCGCCCTGACCACGAACGCGGGCTGGGCCCCACACGTCCAGGTGGAGGGTCTGCAGAGGAGCCTCTGTCGGGGGGAACGAGGAGGAGTGAGGAGCGGCGCGCTGCCGCCCCTCGACGCAAGGAAGGCAAGGCGGCGCAGGCGAGGCAGGGAGGGGAGGGAGGGACCTGGGAAGACCAGACACAAGGTGGCGACGGTGCATGCCACGAAGGCGTGGCAAGGAGGGGTGACCCAGGCGGT